GGGATATTCGTCTCTAGGGAGTTTGGAAGAGTCACTCCTTGTTCAAATGTAAGGCTACTTAAATCCTCAGACAGTTTCAGGTTAAGCTTTTCAGAAGCTGGGTCCAAAATTACTGGATCTTTTACCAGGGAGGGGAAAAGTTATATTGTAGAAATGTGTGGTAATGTAAGTACACAGGATTTTTACTTAACTAATAACTAATAATGTGTAATTACTTACTTATGCTAAAAAATTTAAAATTTCAAAAAAGAACATTAAACGTCAGTGAATAGACAAATGTTAATTACAAATATCAACTTTTGATCCCATGCTTTTCTTTTGACGTTACGTTAAGTTAAAATCAATTTGTAGATTGACATTGAAATTATTTTGCCTCTTTACTTAGAAAATGGGAGACAACTGGTTTTCTAAATTTTTATAAACTTAATTTTTACAATACAAATGAGTCCATTTGTCTTATTTATTTATTTATTTTTTTAAATTTTAGACAGCTAGAACAAATAGAGATAAGGGGTTTTGATCTGACAACCAAGTTATATGTATGAATTATTGTACCCATCTACTTACAGTAAGGACAGATGTTCTTCATCTTTTCCCACACTTTGTATTTCAGGTTCCCCAGGTGTTTGGCACTATCAATCAGAGGAACTAAATTCAGCTGTAGGTTCGGCACTGTGTACTTAGCTCTGGAACAGAGATACACACAAAAAGACACACACAGGCTTAATGTATTATTTAATAATTTCAGCATATCATCCTCTATACATCCTCATGTTTTATTAGTAAGGTGCCTAAATCCATTGAAAGACCATGTTGATTTTGTACAGTAGGCCTAAGTAGGCCAAACTTGTGATTTATGTGATTATTTACCTCTGCTCTATGTCTCTGAAATTCTGAAAAGAACTGTCAGGGGGCATAACTTCTCTTTATATAAATGCAACACGTATGATCAAAGCAGAGATGCTTACATGTAAGAAAACACTGTCATCACCCTTCATCTCATCCTGAATCTCTTTAATTCGCTTAGAAAGATTTGAACACATTTTTTTAATTTCTTTAGTCTTTTCATTTATTCTCTGCATTGTCTTTTTCTCTTCCTCCTTCAGTGCAGCAATCCTGGCCTTCTCCTCCTCTCTGAGGAACTGATGAAGCTTCTCAAACTCCTCCTTTATCTGCTTCTCCGTCTGCTGGACCTGAGGCTAGGAGGAGAAAATCGTCACTCATTATCAGTTGGAATTCAAGGTGTTTGCCAAGAACAACTTTAGTTCTACATGTTCAGACACATAAAGTGGTACCTGGAGCTGTTCTGTAGATATGCAAGCACACTCATGCTTTTTTGAGTTCAGGGTTTGCAGATTGGTCTGAAGTTCCAGCAGTGGTCGTTGAAGTTGGGTCTAAAAATAAAGATGATAAGCATTATATAATATCTGTAATACTCAAGTGTCAGAGAGATATGCTAAAACAACATTTACAAGCAGTGCTGTATACCAAAAATATGTAGATTTCAAAATCTAGGTTTAGATAATCAGACTGTGATTGATCCAGGTTTAGATAATTAGGTGGTGATTAATTCATGTTTAGACATTCAGACTAAGATTAATTTTTGTTTAGATATTTAAACTGTGATTAATTCAGGTTTAGATATTCAGGCTGTGATTAATCCAAGTTTACATACTAAATCTGTGAGTAATTCAGGTTTAGATATTCAGATTGTGATTAATCCAGGTTTAGATATTCAGACTGTAATTAAATCAGTTTTAGATACTGAGGCTGTGATTAATCCAGGTTTACCTGCTAAATCTGTGATTAATCTAGGTTTTGATACGCAGACTTCCATGAATCCAGGTGACATTCTGAATCTGTGATGAATCCCAGTTTAGATACTCAGGCTGTGATGAATCCCAGTTTAGATACTCAGGCTGTGATTCATCCAGGTTAATACAGTAATGTTTTGTATTGCTCTAATTGTCTAATAGTTTATTCCTCTCTAGGTATCAACATAGGCCTTTGTTTCTAGCAGTATCTGAGCTCAGGACTAGCTTCTCTCTAACCTATTTGTAACTAGCAAAGATACTTTCTCTGAGTGACAACAAAGCATTTTTTGTAAATTGTTCTGGATAAGAGCATCTGGTAAATGCTGGAAATGTAAATTGAAATACTCAGACTGTAATTAATCCAGGTTTACATACTAAATCTGTGATTAATCCAGGTTTTAATACTAAGTCTCTGGTTAATCCAGGTTTTAATACTAAGACTATGATTAATCCAGGTTTAGATACCCATGCTGTGATTAATCCAAGCTTAATTACTAAATCTGTAATTAATCTACATTTTAATACTCAGACTTTAATCAATCCAGATTTACATGCCAAAACTGTGCTCTAGGTTTAGTTATTCAGGCTGTGATTAATCCAGATTTAGATGCTCAGACTGTAATTAATCCAGGTTTACATACTAAATCTGTGATTAATCTAGGTTTTGATAACCAGACTGTGATTAATCGAGGGTTAGATGCTCAAGCTGTGCTAATCCAGGTTTAGATTCTCAGGCTGTGATTTAATCCTTATTAATTTTAATACTCAGATTGTGATTAACCCAGGTTTAGACACTCAGACTGTAATTAACCCAGATTCAGATAATAAATCTGTGATTAATCCATGTTTTAATACTCAGACTGTAATTAATACAGGTTTACATGCTAAATGTGTGATTAATTAAGTGTCCAACAGGGAAATTTCACCTCCGCATTTTAACCTATCCGTGCAGTGAAACACCACATGCAGCAGTTGGGGTTAGGTGCCTTGCTCAAGGGCACCTCAGTCACATACTGTTGGCTCTGGGGACCTTCTCATGTGGTTCCGATCACAAGACAGGTTTCCCTAATCTCCAGACCATGACTGCCTTAATCTAGGTTTTGATATTCAGACTGTGATTAATCCTGGGTTAGATACTCAGACTGTGATTTATCCAGATTTAGATTCTCAGACCATCATTAATCTACATACTAATTAATTAATTAATTAATTAACATTAATTTACATACTAAATATGTAATTAATCCAGATTTAAATACTCAGACGGTAATTAATCTAGGTTTATGTACTAAATCTGTGGTTAATCTACATTTTAATACTCAGACTGTAATTAATTTAGGTTTTAATACTCAGGCTGTGATTAATCTAGGTTTTCATACTCAGGCTGTGATTAATCCAGGTTTTCATACTCAGACTGTGATTAATCCAGAGTTAGATACTCAGACCGTAATTAATCAATGTTTAGATCCTCGTGATGTCATTAATCCAGGTTTAGATAATCAGACTGTGATTAATCCAGATTTAGATACTCAGACTGTAATTAATCCAGGTTTACATGCTAAATCTGTGATTAATCTAGGTTTTTATACTCAGCCTCTGATTAATTATTGTGCATATGCACATGAACGGCTAATGTTTCTGAAGAATAATCAATCACATAAAACAGGAGAAATCAGTAAAGAAAGTGAAATATATCAAACATAAATATCTAATATCTGCTGATGTATACTGATTTAAAGTAAAGTAAAATCTGTCAGGACACAGAAAAGCTGGGATTAGATTGATCTAGGCTGAAAGTTAGGTTGGTAAGCAAGAAATATTGCCTCATGAGAGTATGCTGAGAAGGTCTTCTGTAACTGAACTTGCTAGAACCCCAAATGAGCATGCAGTTAAAAAAATCATGAAATCTGGAGGTGCTGTAGCACCCATAGCACCCCTGGCATTCACACGACCCTGGTGTCAGCAAAACTCAAAAACTAAAGAACAGGCATACAGCTTTTATCCAAGTGATCAGCAACAAAAACAAAAACTTTACCTTGTGTTCACTGGCCGCTTTGCTGATGGAACAGAAGTTGTGATCTTGATGGTCCTGAGCCACACACTGCAAACACACCAGCTGTTGGTCATCCACACAGAACAGCTGCTGTTTCTCAGCATGGCGCGAACATATTTTACCTTGAGTTTCTGCTGAAATCTTGCGCTTCTTTGCCTCTCTTAATGATTCACAGGTGTTTTTAAGGCATAGACTGTGAAGAGGAGTACACTTGGATATTTTTCTGCAGAGTGGACATTCTTTTGCCTCCTTCCCATTCCAGCTTCTCTCCAGACAAGCCTTGCAGAAACTGTGAGTACAGTGGAGAACCACAGGATCCTTGAAGATTTCTAGACAGACAGAACACTTTAGGTTTTCTTCCAGCTTTGTGTGAGATGACGCCATCTGCGCTCGATCTAGACAGATGCCCAAATTTTTCCCCTGTAAAACCTTTATAGTCTTCGCTTTCACCGAAGTGAAACTAAATATCTGTTACTGTGCTATTGATTAACCTAAACAACATTCTGAGTCCTGATTGTAAAGTGTAAATGTTTTGGCAGCTCTAACCTAACCTCGCTAGAGACTACAGAGACAAGCCACACCTAAAAGTTTAGGTGTGTCACTCACTCGTGTACATTTTCACTGAAAGAGAAGGTATTTTATTGGGTCATGATTCAAACAAATGCGCGCTTCACTTAAAACCTGAGTTAGAATTGGGGTCTTAATGTCTCATGTGCAGTGAGATTTTCTCAGAACCTGTGCTTGTCTCCTGCAGTTAGTTTCTGTATAAAGTGCTTGGAGCAAAGCTGGAAGAAAAGAGAGAAGGAAGCATGTCCTGTCTGCAGACAGCAGGCTTCCACTGTGTAAGAAATGCTTCCGAGTTTGTAATGAAGGAGTGCCCTGCCTGAGTGTGCAAAACAGTGGCGGCTGGTCATCAAGTCTGGGGACAAAATATGCAAAGTGTGCAACTATAGTGACCTAGATCACGTTTAGTTTACCTTGGAGTTTTCTAAGTAGTTGTGTTTTTGGGGGTATATTGGAGCATCATCAGGAGAGAAAGCACAAGGGAGACCATGATTCTGCTGTAAGAAGTGAACTTTATTGAACACATTGGCAGAAAAAGGCACATACAGAACCCCAAACTCGTGGGGGAGGACACCTCTAGTCACACACTTCACCCCGACAGTGGCCCCCCTTACACAAAAAACCCACAGCCCCCAACCCTAAATAACACAAATAACGTGTGTACACAACTTAAACTAACAGACAGCATAAACAGTCCCTTTTCTGAAGTGTACCATGAGCATTAGCATGTAGCCATCTGCAAAGTCAAGCCTCCAAAGTTTCATGTAGCCAGCCAGTAGCAGAATGCTACTATATATACAACCTAATATCAAAAAAAAAAAGTAAACAGGTCTAAAGATAATGTGGAACCGGTCTGATAAGTACATTGCATCATTTTCAGTTGTAAATCACCAGTATTATTAATTCACATAAAAGGCAAGATTAAAAAAAGGATAAAGCTTCACAGGAGCTACATGTTACACTAATTGTATCTTTATAAACAGTAAAGTAACATTTGGTTAACAATTGCATAATCATTTTGAAACAATCATTAAATATTCATTAAAGAAAAATAATTGAAATCCCACCCAGTGATGTTTACTTAGTGATATGATTATGAATACATTATTATACACAGTCCTTTTTCAGGGAACATAATTTTACACACATATTTTTTTAAGCACAGATATCCACATTCATGATTGAAACAAAAACAGTGTAAATCAATACAATTTTACGTTCCTATCCTATTATATGAAACTGTTTCATGTAATGTTTACTAATACTTCATAAGATCATCATCTGAATGTAATATAGCTGTGCAGTTCATAAATGCTAAAGGAATACTTCATGTTAAGGCCTATTGGAGCTGGATTAGTTTTACATGGGGAGGTGCTGTAATTTAAGTGATTACCGAAGAGATCTGTGATTTTATTCCAGTACAAATCTGCAATGTCTGTAGTTCATACAAGTCTGCTAAGTAATAACTCCAGAGTGAATTTCCTTTGGTAATTCACCAAACGTGGAGCTTCTTCAATAATGGTAGCCCGGTTCGAAATGCCGCTAAAACGTTTCTGGTGATGGGTTGAGAATAAGAACGAGAATTAAATATCTGATGTCACCTCTCTCAAAGTAGAGTTATTTCTGTCCTCTTAAGTGACATTTGGTTAAATAAGCCCATTTCACTAGACTAATGCTATTCTATCTGCTATGCTTACTAGTAGTTTGTTTTGTCAGTTGTTTAGATCAGTTTAAGTGAACATCCGGTAAAAATTAGCAAGTTCAGTCTCTTACAAATTACATTACTAGACTTCCTCCAGTAAAACTAATCCAGCTCCAATAGGGCTTATGAGTAGGTATTGCAATCTGCTTAGATTTTGTATCAACCATAAATGCATTAGGATCTTAAACATACTACATATTACATTTTTTATTTTCTGCTCATTTCATGAAATATACACTAAGCATCACTCAGTGAGTTTTCAATTAATTACACACTCCTCTTCACCTGAGAATCTGAATTCGATGTAAAAGACAATAATCCTTATCTATACAGTGCAGCTGACTCAAGGACTGAGACTATAACACTGGTTTTAGACAACAATACTAACAATTATTACTCTGGATGCTGAACTGTGACTTTAGCAGGTAAAATCTTTAATGGTTTGTCATCAGTGTAATGAAAGAAAGGATAGATCTTCTCAGTAAATCTATCTTTGTAACTATGCAAAACCCAAGAACAGCCATCTTTGAAAAACTTTACTTCCCCTGCATCCCAGTTTAGTTGAATTCTGAATGTCTGGTACTTAGTGGTAGGCTTACCATGGGTCCAGGAGTATTTATTGTTGCGGAAACTTATCGTCCAAATGCCTTCTGCAGGAGCTGCTTTACAAGTTTCCTTTCTTTTGACAGACTCTTTTGCTACACCTATGATCCAGGTTGTACTCTCTTTAACCTCCACTACCCAGCTGTGTGTTCCAGAGTCAAACCCTTCCGAGCCCAGAATGACTGGATGAATTCTAAACCTCTCTGGGTTGTCTGGAAGGTCCTGTGATGGGTGTCCTCCACTGAGACTTACCAGATCTTCAGAGAGTCTCATGGTTTCCCGTGCAGTGTTTGGGTCTAGAATCACTGGAACTTAAAGAAATAACACTAGTGGAGCATCTGAAAGGGTGTCTAAACTTTTGCACATGCCACACTTCATGTTTTACTTTTTTCCAATGTGTTCAATTCAGTAAATACATAAGAATCGTGTATTCAAATTTGTAGAAATGTCATATTTAAATTTATTACATTCAAATGCAGTGTTAACTTCTTCTCACTTAAAATCAACAAAATGTGTAATTTGACCAACTTTACCATACAACTGTACTTACAGTAAGGACAGATGTCCTTCATCTTCTCCCACACTCTGTATGTCAGGTTCCCCAAGTGTTTGGTCACGTCAATCAGAGCTTCTGAGTCCAGCTGTGGAGATGCTGTTGTGTAATGAGCTCTAAAAAACACACATGCATATGCGGATGCATCGTTATTCTTCAATCTTCAAAATCCGGTTATCCAGTATGTCCTTGGAGATTAAAAATTATATGAATATACACTGATCAGGCATAACATTATGACCACCTCCTTGTTTCTACACTCACTGTCCATTTTATCAGCTCCACTTACTATATAGGTGCACTTTGTAGTTCTACAGTTACAGACTGTAGTCCATCTGTTTCTCTGCATACTTTGTTAGCCCACTTTTACCCTGTTCTTCCGTGGTCAGGACCCCCATGGACCCTCGCAGAGCAGGTACTATTTGGGTGGTGGGTCATTCTCAGCACTACAGTAACACTGATGTGGTGGTGGTTGTGTTAGTGTGCGTTGTGCTGGTGAGAGTGGATCAGACACAGCAGTGCTGCTGGAGTTTTTAAACACTGTGTCCACTGTCCACTCTATTAGGCACTCCTACCTTGTCAGTCCACCTTGTAGATGTAAAGTCAGAGACGATAGCTCATCTGCTGCTGCACAGTTTGTGTTGGTCATCCTCTAGCCCTTCATCAGTGGTCACAGGACGCTGCCCACAGGACGCTTTTGGCTGGATATTTTTGGTCGGTGGACTATTCTCAGTCCAGCAGCGACACTGAGGTGTTTAAAAACTCCAGCAGCACTGCTGTGTCTGATCCACTCAGACCAGCGCAACACACACTAACACACCACCATCACATCCTGACAACTGAAGAACAGGGTAAAAGGGGGCTAACAAAGTATCAGAGAAACAGATGGACTACAGTCTGTAACTGTAGAACTACAAAGTGCACCTATATAGTGGAGAAGTGGAGCTGATCAAATGGACAATGAGTGTAGAAACAAGGAGGTGGTCATAATGTTATGCCTGATCAGTATACAGTATGACTGTATGAAACAGTACCTTTCACTGATATCTTGATAGTTCTAGAGAGAAAGATGAAGATATGGAAATTGAGCATTTTATTGTTATAATCTGAAGCAAATATTTTTTTTATTTTCTATTCAGATTTGCACACTGACCTGAAAGAAACACTCATTTTCAGCCTCCATCATGTCTTCTGTTTCCTGGATCAGTTGGTCCAGTATGCTGCACTCTTTATCAGCTTCTGTAATTTTCTCCTTCATCCTCTTTGTCTTCTCCTCCTCTTCCTCTCTCAGTGCAGTGATCCTGGCCTCCTCCTCCTCTCTGAGGAACTGGTGAAGCTTCTCAAACTGCTCTTTTATTTGCGCTTCTGTCTGCTGAGCCTGAGACTTTGTTTGAAAGAGAATAGCATTAGCCTAATGTGCTCTTAACACATTCTGCTCAGTGAAAGTCAAGTCACTACTCTCCTCATTCAGTATTTGACCAAAGAACTGAGAACTGAGAGCAGAGGAAAGTCTGTAACATTTACTTCATCCCTACAAAGATCAGAAAGCAGAGCTGAGCTAATTTATTGATTATTTATTATATTTTAATATCAATTTGAATGTATTTTTGTGACATCTATCTTGTATAATGAATGTAAAATGTAATACATACAAATTTCATTTTTTTTTTATCTTAATCCAGTCTTGGTCTTGACTTAACGTGTCTCAGTCTCAATCTTGCCTTTCATGGTCTTGACTACAACACTAACAGATACTTCTATAAATTCATCAGGAATTCCGGAGGAGGAATTCCGGAGGAGTTTTGGAACTGAGGATTCCATGCACAACACATATTTTTACATTTTCCCTGATCTAACACACTTTGTCAGTGATCAAGCCCTTCACGAGCTGAGTCAGATATGTGAAAGCAGGCTATATAAGCATGTTGAGAATGCCTTTCATAGAGAATGTGAACTCCTTTCAGGTTGACCCACCTTGACGTGTTTGGCAATGTCCTCATAGGTGCTTTTAAAATCCTCAAATGTATCCAGCAATGCTTGCAAAGCAGCCTGGGAAGACTTCAACTCCTCCTAAATCGCAGCAAGAAATTACTTCAGTTGTTAATATTGAGAGGGTTAAAGTCAATAGAAAATCAAAAGACAGACATTCTTAATTGCACAAAGTACATCAGCAGTGAAAGCATACTCCAGCTTCTCCAACAAAAGTATCAGAGGAAGTGCTGTAAAAGGAAAACCAGCCGGAAGATTAACTACAGAAACTGTGAGCTTTTACATATCTGAGGCCAAAATAAAACTTGCACTACAAAAACGTCAATCACCCTCATTTTATCCCTGAAATACACTGAGTGACTCTCATTTACAATGTATCTGAGCATGCTTGTGCAAATATAATGAAAAGAGATTGAAAAGTAAAAAAATGTAATGGTAACACTTTCTATGAATGTCACGTTTGTAAGCATCTATAAACGCATTCATAACATGTTATAATGCATTCATAAGGCATCATAAACATGGCTATAAATATTTACAAAAATGCATTACACATTATAGCCATGCTTATTATGCATTATGAATTGTTAACATAATGTGTTATAAGTACTGTTCATACCAAATTATAAGAGCTCATAAGTCGTATTTGTCCGCTCTAAGTAAAGTGAAGCGTACTGTACTAAAGCCTCCTCCAGTGTTCAGAGTGAGGCTTCAAGCTGAAGTATTTACTGAAGGATTTACTGAAACACTAAAACATACACAGTAAAGCACATTACAGGCTTCAAATGTCAGAGTTTAAACTAGAGCTGCCATCAGTAGTGTTTTTGTACTTGGTTTATTGTGATGTAATGTAACATTTAAAGTCAGAGCGCTGCTTAAGAAAGGTACATTGTAGTAATAACTCATCTGAATATTCAGGACTGAAGCCATGAAGATGCAGGTCTAACAGCACCAACAGTGAGAAATAAAATATTGGAAATCCCAGGGCAAAAATAAACTTTGTATTTGTCTTTTCTTTACGCTCTCCAAGCTGGGACTGACTTCTTTGGCACTGACAGTATAACATGTTATTAACACTACTCATAATGCATTATATTAACAATTTATAATGTATAATAAACATGGCTATAAAGTGTAATGCAGTGTAATTCATTTTGATAAAGATTTATAACCATGTTTATATTGCCTTATGAATTTTAAAACATGTTATAAATGTGTTTATAGATGCTTACAAATGTGACATTCATAGAAGGTGTTACCAATGTAATCAACTCATAAAGAAAAATAAGGTAAAGATAAAATAACAATTAGAAATCGTAAAAAAGAAAGAAAAAAGTACGTTTAAAAAATCAATTAGGCTAATACGTAACTGAGACACTTAAATTAGTTTTAATTGTAAATTAGAGCTAAAACCGACTAGAATCACAAGCAAATTGTAAATCTGACAGCCAGCTAAAATTATTAGTAAAATAATAAAGTTGAATCAAAACAAAACTAGCTAAGAAACAATTAAGAGCAGGTATAACAGATGCTGGCAGACTGAAAAAATCACTGTAGTCCAAAACAGATAGTAAAGTTGCCTCGATGATCTTTTTCCCAGTATGCACTGGGAAACATGAATTATTTCCATAGAGGAAGTTATTGCCTTCATTTATTAACTAGATGTCTTGGCAAATGATGTTTTAAATCTACTCGATTTATTTTATATTTCTCACGATGAGATTGTTGTAAGAATGTTGTAGGATTATTTAACTTAGTTCTAGACATTTTTCTTTGGGGATTTTTTTGTTCTATTGGCAGCTAATTTAGTCTGTTTCAAGCATTTTTTTCTGTTTTATGTCCTGAAACAAGAAAAATTATCTGACAACAAAGTATAATCTTCTTACAACTGCCTCAAAATAAGAAATATTAGATATATCAATTCCATTTTTTGCTAATTACATATTTTTAGACAGACAGAGTAAGTGAGCTGTATAGACAAACAGGAGTCACTGATCTGATGAACTTTACCCCACTTCCTCAGGAAAAATGTTTACATAAAAAAGCCGTAGATAATGGGATGGGAGAATAAATCTGAAACAGAACCCACCCAGTGGCATCCCCTCTGAAAACACTTAATAAGATGGAAGCTGTTTAGTCCTTACTTTGCGATGACTCGCAGCCTTGCTGATGGAGCAGAAACTGTGATCTTGATGGTCCTGAGCTATACACTGCATACACACCAGCTTTTGGTCATCCACACAGAACAGCTGCTGTTTTTTAGAATGGACCACACAGATTACACTTTGAGTTTCTGCTGAAATTTTGCGCTTTTTTTCCTCCACAAATGATTCACAGGCATCCTTAAGGACTAGATTGTTAAGAGGAGTATACTTAGTTATTTTTCTGCAGAGTGGACATTCCTTCGCCTCCTTCCCATTTCAGCTCCTGTCCAGACAAGCCTTGCAGAAACTGTGACTACAGTGGAGAACCACAGGATCCTTGAAGATTTCTAAACAAACAGAGCACCTGAGGTTTTCTTCCAGCTTTGTGTGAGATGACGCCATCGTCACTGCACTAGATCCTCACAGATGCCAGGACGTGCTTCCTCTGTAAAACTTTAACAGACTTCGCTTCTGGAGAAATGAAACTAAACGCCTGTCTTCGAGAACCTGAACCACATGCTGTTTCCTAACTGTAAAATTATGTGTTTACATCTCTAACCTACACTTGCTCAACTTTATACCGAATATAATCAAGCAAAGAATGTTTGCTGATCTTAGAATACTATTAATGTTGCAAGCGGCTACATAGCTTCGAGGCATTGAGGGCTGTCACTGACACCACTTTGAGTTTCATTTTCAGTGAAAGCGAAAGTGTTTTACTTGTGTTGTGTTTCAGGCGAAAGCTTACTTGTCTGAAAACGCTCAAGATGGCATCGTGTCTGTCTCCTCTGGAAGAAGACCTTACATGTCCAGTGTGCTGTGAGATTTTCTCAGAACCTGTGCTTCTCTCATGCAGCCACAGTTTCTGTAGAAAGTGCTTGGAGCAAAGCTGGAAAGACAAACAGAAGAAAGAATGCCCTGTTTGCAGACAGCAGGCATCCAGTGAGGAGCCACCATTGAACTTAGCTTTGAAAAATGCTTGTGAGTTTGTAGTGAAGGAGCGGAGTGCAGGAGCTTCCAGAGCATCGCAAGGTGTGTGTCCGGTTCATCTGGCTGGGAAACTGCAGCTATTCTGCGTGGACGATCAGCAGCTGGTAGTGTGTGGAATGTGTGGCTGGGGATCATCAACGTCACAACTTCTGTTCCATCAGCAAAGTGGCCGACGAACGCAGGGTAGGTCTGTGATCTAGAGGTTCAATCAAAATGAGTGTCAAAAATTCCTATTTAGTCTAGTTTAGCTTAGTCTGTGATTGGAGGCAGAACCAGGACTAACAGTGATCTAGGCTAAGAAAATAGGCTGCATTAGAATTTGTAATGCAGCTGGTAGCTTTTTATATTACTTCATAGTTCTGTGTTATTTCATTCTAGCATCACTTAAGCATGCCACATTCTTACCTGTAATGTCCCATGATGGCCACCAGAGGGCCTCTCTTCTCCTGAGGTGTAGCAGATCAGTGTCTACTGTTCATTGTGCTCACCAGTTCTTGGTTTTACTTGGTTTATGATAAACTGAGCTATAACGAATTACATGTACTTTCATTAAAATGCTTGAGTATATTTTTTCACAGCTCACCTTCCAATCTGAGGTCTGATTTAGAATAACATGTAGGACAACTCTTTATTAAGCCTAAAGCCATTGATTATGTAATATATCACTATAGCTATCTAGCTAATGTAAGTGATCTACTGTCAGGTCTTACACTCCCAAAAAGATGGTTCTTCAAGGGTTCTTTAGTAAAGACAGTAGCTCTATATAGATCCATGAACACTCAAAGAACCATTTGTATGCTTATATTGTTTTCTATATTCTCTGCATGGCAAAATGGTTCTTCAGATTAATGGAGAATGTGTTGTGTATGGTTCTACATGGTCCCAAAAAGGGTTCTTCTGCTGTTACACACTTGATATCGTAACGATAGCAGAACCCTTTTCAGTACTATATAGAACGGAGCAATCTCTATCAATCTGAAGAACGATTTCACCATGCAAAGAACCATTAAAGCATTCAAATGGATCTTTCAGTGTTTGTGGTTCTATATAGAACTGCTCACTTTTCTAAAGAACCCTAAAACCATTTTTTGGTAGCACTTTATTTGGATAGTCCACCTTAGACTCTTTGTAGATCATTAATTTACTTTAAAGTTATGTTCAAATAAATATCTACTAAATTCACTAGAATTTTCTTTAACTCTAAACCTGGCTCTAATCCTAACCCTCACCTTAACCTCAACCTAAAACCTAAACGCAATCCTCACAATGCTCCTAGCCCTAATCCTGGTCCAAATCCTAACCCTAACTCCACCACTGTTTAGAATCAACAGATAGGTTGTTAACAATGTAAGTATCTGTAGATAACCTAAGGACTGTCCAAATAAAGTGAAACTCCATCTTTTTAAAGTGTGTATTTATTTAATTATTTATTTAGTGACGATGTCTTTTGCAGGAGGAGCTCAAGATAAAACAGCAGACTCTACAGGAGAAACTAGATTCAGTTAAGAAAGCTAAACACATCTATGGCCTACATTTTGAGGTGAGTCCTTGACAAAAGTCTGGCATCTGGAGTTAGGTCACCCTTCATGTGCCCCTTCGTGCCCTGTTGTCTGCATCAGCACATTCTTTCTGCATATAAAGTCATTTTCTGGATAATCTGCAGATTAGCGTAACTGTCAATATTGCACTGATGTGTATCCCAGTATTTCAGTAGTATATTTCAGGTCTTTTACTTACTTGACAAAGGCTTAATAAAATGTCCATTTTCTATGCTGTCCCTTGACATTGGGTAGTGTAGTAAAACCTATAGTTGAGGATAACTATCCTCCATGTTATAGTGGTGTAAATGCATTGCTAATCTACACTAATATACCCTTCGTCCAGTCTCAGGTCCAAAAGACAGAGAGGCAGATAAGGGAAGAGTTTGAGAAGCTTCATGTGTTCCTCAGAAAGGAGGAAGAGGCCAGGATTGCTGCACTGAGAGAGGAAGAGCAGGAAAAGAAGAAGAAATTGGAACAGAAGATCGCAGAGTTGGAGACAGTGATTGAATCTCTTACTGAGAAAATTGAAGTGCTTAAGGATGGATTAGCTTCTGAAGATGTGCCTTTTCTGAGTGTAAGCTTGTTGCACAAAATGCTTTTGTGTTCAATTACATTTCTTGCAAAATCCAAAAACATGCTTTGATAATTCATGGTATTCTA